TCGAAGCAGTCCGCATATGATACGCATACCTCGACAAAGAGTGATCAAATTTGAGCAGGAAAAATATTATCAACAATAAGATAATCCGAATCATTTCAAAATGAATTAAGTTTGGGGTGTGTGTGTGTGGACTTGATCAATTATTTGCGTATATTCTTGGTTGCCTTTACTTCAGTGCGTGTCTAGCTAATTATTACTTGACTATGCAAATACTTAGTTATGCCTTAATCTCATTGAATTGGCTCACTTGCCTTCTCCATTTCTCTTCGCTCTGCTTGTACGCTATTCATTCTCATATCTGCCATTTGTAAACGTCTTATTTACAGCCGTCGCACAAATAGGGTTTACCTCTAAGCACACAACATCCTTGGGATAGTCACAAAAATTGCACACTAAAATAACATATCAACCGATCATAGCCAAGCATTTTCCTAATGGGAAATGTGATCTCAATGTCAGCTGATCAGCCAATGAGTGATTGAGTTCTGGAGAGATCTAACGTCCCCAACAATTACATAAGTCAGTTTCTTCCATTATTCACATATTGATATTTTCCAAGTGGATAACTACGCCTGAAGTACGTACTTCTAGGGTTACTACCGATTCAAAACCCGGATAGAGAAGGAGGGTATCACATGCTCATTAGCGACTAGAGTTGAGAGGAAGTTTCTGAAATTCTATATACAGAAGATAGTGGAATGTGAGGAAGGTAAATCCCTGAGGATAATAGAACATAACAGGGAAATATTTCAACTCGTACATCATTGTATTCTGTTTGAATAGTCTGTCAGTCAAGCATTCACCCGCCAGACCGAATATCTTCGCGATTACGTGGTCTTGAGTGAATTCTACTGATGAGTTCTATACGAAATTCGTCACTGTTAGAATATTCATCCAATATCCTGAGAGAATTATTGGTCAATTCCTATTGGTTAATTCCTACTGGCAAATTTTATGGTCCACCTAGATATCAATGTTACGTGCTCCAATGTTGTTTCTTATTGGTGGTCCTGACTACCAATGTCACTCCAAATGTTGCTCCTATTGGTCGTCTTAACTGTCAATGTCACAGAATTCGATGCTGTTTCCTATTCGACCAAAATGTATAAATACGCATTATCTGTAACGTTATATGACCAGGACCAGGATCAGGGCTCAGTCGCGGATCCCCAGTCCGGGATCCTGATTATCTTCTGTACTCAAAAGTCGTACTTTATGGATGCTTGTAGAATACATGTTCTACTTCATATCAAGTCTTCTTATTTTGACTCAATATAGGGGCTGGGATAATCGGATTAGAGTAGCATGTCGTGTCACCGGATCCTCGATGCTCGCTCTTGTTTTCCGACTAAGGTATACTCGTAATAGTTCAAGAGTATATTCAGTTGACGTGCTTACGTGCAGGCGTAACGGTCCCCATCTCTACAATCTTACATACAATATCTATCTATTGTGTAAAAATGCTTCATATGAATACAAATCAACTAGGATTATTAGAAATGAGAAATAATCGTTGATGTCTTTTCAACTACAAATACACATGATTAATTCATTCATGTGATCACATACAAAACTTGTAATGAGTTGATTGCTTGCTTTTTCCGTTACATCAATCTTTCCTCATCAATCGACTACTACTATAAATAGGAAGGGATGATGATCATATTTATCTCATCTTATAAATCGAATAACAAATCAATTTAGATAAATAGAAAAACAAAAACATTCATTGTCCAATCAATAAAATTGGGAGAAAAATCAATCAACCATTCAAGCATTATTCGATGAGAATAAAAGATGAAAATCGATAATAATACTAATTATAGTAATTGCAGCTCATTGTGACACGACTAAGTCAACTAAAATTATACACTAGATAATGTGACTAGGCTTAATTTGAGTGCTATGCATTGTTAGTTAAACTATTATACAACACGGTTTTGAACGTTTGACTAAGTCAATTCATACGGATGTCAGCAAGAAGCTGAATTCTTTGATAAAACACAACATACGCCAACCAAATCACTTTGGATGAAGATGCTTTGGAGGATATAAAAAGCTTGACGTATTTAGGTAGCGTCAATAATGAGCAAGTTGGATGTGATGCAGATATGACGGTGTGGATCGGCAAAGAAAATTCACAACTCAAAACAACTATCAACTCACACCAAAATCAGCATTTTCAATAGAAATGTCAAGACAGTTCTACTGTATGAGGTGGAAACTTGGAGAACTAAAAAAAAGCCATCATCCACAAGATATAGTCATTTTAATAACGGTTGTTTATGCAAGATACTCTACATCCGTTGTCCAGACACTATCAGCAACAAGCTAATGTAGGGGAGAACAAACCAGATTCCAGTAGAGTAGGAAATCATGAAGAAGCTCTGGAAGTGAACAGGACACACATTGCGGAAAACACCCGACTGCACCAAAATACAGGCTCATATGTGGAATCCTCAACGCCAAAGGAAAAGAGGAAGACCAAGGAACAAATCATACTGAGAAACGGAGACAGACATGAGAAGAATCAACAAATTCGGGCAGATATGGAAAGGAAAGCCCAGGGACTGACTGGGTTGGATAATACCGGTCGACAGGCAATGCTCTTCTGAGGGTAAAAAACGTAAGCAAGTGAATAAGAAGATTAACCTAATTGGACACAATAATCTTGTTGTGCATAGTTCATGTGTTTATATATGATGAGTACAAGTTATTGTAATGATCGGCACAAAGATTCGATTCCCACGTGTTGACTTGTTGATAAACACTGCTGATGAATCCTATTTTAAGATAAAATGATCATCCAATGCTCCTAGTGTTTGAATGATGGTCTAACATTGATCAGTTCATGAATTCATTGAAACTCAACAATTCCCACAACTAACTACTGACAAAGATTTGTAACTGGTGACATTGGCTAGGTGTACCAATTAAGTTGAGGCCACAGGATTTGTTCCAGCTTTCAAACAAGCTAATCAACCTTTTCTGTTCAAATCATAAATTCACATATCTTTCAACCTTGTCTACTATTTTCTTATACCCTTGGACGTTTTTGTTTGAGTGTGTGTGTGCGCTTGCATGCTTAAGTCACTTATTCAGCCTATTTTTTCCTGAATATAAATACTTAGTCATTGGTCTTCTCTACTTCATATCGCTTTGATTTCTCACTTTTTATTCTCATGTCTGTCTACATGAACGATTCCATGAAATAAACCCAACCATACCGACTCCATATTTAGCTTCTTATTCCCATCGTCTCAAAAATGTCATTCGCCTAAGTATGATTAACGGAAATGGAAGGAAAGATTGCTTTCATCGATATATAGGCCACTAAAATGCAAATAACTATGTTTCTCAGGAAACATATGAGAAATGTACTTTTTGCATTTAGAAATACAAGTTGACCAAGTTGATATTTTCACGTAGAACAGATTGAAAATTGAAGTAATCAGTCAGTTACAACGTAGAACTTCGTACCTCTAAGTACATCAGTTCATGTTGCCATACCACATTAGTACATAGATGTAATTGTCAATTCAAATCCCTTAGTAGTGGAGGTAGTAGAAGTAATCGAAAAGATTAGGGTTCGAAAATGTTATTCAGGAAGTATTATTTAGCGAGATTAATTTAGAACGAGAAAGACCAAGGTGGTGAGTAATTCAGGTTCGAATTTCATAGAGCACAAAGAGTGGATGCACATGCACAATTGCAAACGATTCTAAGCCATGTAGTTCAAGATCTCTAACCATTGGTTACTATCATCTCGCTGATCCCAACCAAAGTAGTCAACAACTACTGACATGACTCAGTCCAGTCACTTGTCAGTGACTTCATGGATTTGTGCCATGTTTTGGTCTGGCTGCCCCCAACTTTCTTCCAACCTACTACTACACTACAAAAAAAAGCTCGTCACGGCATTCGGTGGTTAGGCTTACGTAACACATGTCCAAACCACCTCAACTGATGAAGTTTCACCACTTCATCTATTGATCGGCCATCCCTACCTACGACCCGTTTTCCAACGACAGCATTGCTTAATCAACACACTGATGAACAGTTTGAAAATTAAACAAAATAATTGTCAAGTATTTTTAAATTTCTATCATCATCCAAATGATGATAATCGATTATACATATATATATATATATATATATATATATATATATGAATGAAAATGTCAAAATCTCCACAGTTCATCATTTTAAATTGAGTTATTGATTCCATTGAAAAGGGTGCACTCAATTATTTGCACTTTTTTTTTATCTCAATAAATCGAATAGAATGAGAGAAATAAAAAATAATCATTAATCAATATAAACAGTTCATCATTATTGTAGCCGAGAATAATTCCCTACTGCGGCATAATTTAGTTTATGATATTTATATTATATTGTGGTGCAAGCTACTTATAAGTAGTATATGACGTGAGCGTCAACGTAATGTCTGGCAGCAGAAGATGAGGGAAGATCAAGAAAGGAAGAGTTAGTTAGAACACAATGGAATTTGTATGAAAAACGCATGAATAGTGAGTGACAATGGATTGATGTATTGCAACAGGAACAGTCCAGTTCGATATGATGAACTGATATTTTGCAAATGAACGATTTACAATATGGTTTTCCGATTTTACTGAGTAACTCTGTAATTTTCGTTAAATACAATTCAGTTGCCCTCACCTGTATTCTCGTTCACTACACTACTACTACTACTCTCGACCATATCTCCATCATGTGACAACTTTGGAAGATTTAACGCAACCGGGCACAAATGCTCAATCTCGCCTAAACTGATGTGAATGCTACGGAGTTGTACACCTTAATAATTAATGAAAATCTCAATAATGAGACTGTTACTATCCCCTTCTCAAATGAATACTAGACTGATCTATTTTAGTCAATTTACTATCCTCACTACTATTCGAGAACTATTCAGCTGAAAAAATCAGCTTTCTGATCCTTCCCACCTTAATTCACATAAACACAACTACGAAAAACAGCACCGATATTAGTCTCTTCAACAGACAAACACACACACAGAACAGTGAAATGATCAATAACAGGACTAGTCGAAAGAAGCCAAGACACAAACACACACACACACTACAGTCAAAATATGATCACGAGGCGAAAAAATAGTGAAACAGAACAGAACAGAACAAAACACGCAGAAAGCAGTACAATTCATTATTATTTACTAGCAGTACAGTAAGAAGTATACATAAACATAATCGATAATGGGCTAAGGGGGCAGGGCGGGAGAGCACAGCACAAAACAACACCAGTTGGAAGTGCCGACGGCAGGGAACCATCATGAGGAGGAGGGCATCAGTAAACGAGACAAAACAGAACAGAACAAAATACAAGACAAGACAAGATGAGAAAAGAAAAGAAAAGCCAAGTAAAAACAAAATTCCAATAGCAAAAGTAAGAAATAAGTTTGCAATTGAATTGGACAGAAAAAATACACATCATACATGATAGTAGCAATAATAATAATAAAGTCATATTTAAGTAGTATTCGATGATCGCAATAGTAGTAGTAGTAGTAATAAGCAAATTACGAAAGACAACGAACAATTCGATGTGTAGTACAATAATAATAAAAATATGCTTCAAAAAAATGGAATGTCTACAAAGAAGAGATTCACTGAGCATCATCACAACAACACCAACAACAGCAACAATGTTTGGAATGAAATGAAGTGAGGCGAGGTGAGGCGAGGCAGGGCTAAGCGAACTGATCGATGACACACAACGCACACACGTGTGTGTGTGCGTTGTGTGTTGGTATATCACATAGAAGACAACGTCAACAAAAGAAATACAATAGAAGACGTACACACAGAGGAAGAGAGAGAGAGATTCGATGTCTCTGAGTAATTTTTTACAGGACATGATTATACACTGTCACTCTATTTAACTGTGCTCTTCTTCAATCACATACATAAATCACAGATGTCATGATCATGAGAAAAGGTTAATGGTCCTAGGAATAGTTAGAGTATAATAGTAGGACAATATAAACAGAAAAGAGGTAACTTTATCACAACACACAAACACGCACGCACAATCATTAACAAGTAGAATAGTCAATCGATTCGAATCAAGTTGGTGCATAGAGCTCTCGCTACAATCAAGTTTTTACACAGTTAGTTAATTAAATCGGATACACGCCAGTTGATCGGCGTTAGTAGTAAGTTCATTGTCACAAACGTGTGCACTGAAGTACAGTATACATGAACATACACACAAGCACACAGAGAGAGATACACATACACAAATAGGCAAAGAATAATATAACACAATGTTGACATTGGACAAAATGGACGCAGTGGAAATTTCTGCAACACAAGAGACATGAGACAATCTGAAATGAAGAGGGAAAAAACACACAAAGAGAGAGAGAAGTGCATAGGGATTTTAAAAAAATGTAATATGATGTGATAATGTACACAACTGAAATTTCTGTTGACAGGCTTAGCCAGTAGAGTGCTACACATTACTCAATGCTCGATTCATGAGGTACTGTGGTGCGCGCTACTCATAAGTAGTATATGACGTGAATGTAAACGTAATGTCTGGCAACAGAAGATGGGGGAAAATCAAGAAAGGAAGAGTGGGAACACAATGGAATTTGTATGAAACGCATGAATAGTGAAATGTCAGACAATGGATTGATGATCGATTGAAGATTTGCAAATTAACCGTTTACGATATGGTTTTCCTATTTTACTGAGTAACTGTAATTTCCGTTAAATACAATTCGGTTGCCCTCACCTGTGTTCTCCTTCACTACAGTACTCCTCATACTTACACCTAACATAATCATGATATTTCAGTTGAACGGTTTATGAGGATGACAGATTAAACTATTCTTCTTCATAAACCTACCGATCAAAGATATATAAGTACATACTTACTCAGTCAAGTATCATCAAGCCAGTATACAGCTTGGCACAAATGTGCATCGTCACAAAAAGCGCTATGCCATATCAGTACAAAAGACCGACATCAGAAAAAGTTGCTAACTCTTTCTCTTTCTCCTGGTGAATGGCTGGATAACGAAGACGTTAACATCTAGGTGAGAGCATGGGATACAGTTCACAGCTGGGATGCAAATGGACGATCTGGACTTCACAGATGATCTAGCTTTTTTATCCCACATACAAAAATAACTACAGTAGAATACGACCAGTGTAGTAGCAGCAGCCTCAAAAGCAGTAGGTCACAATTTTCAATGCGAATCTCAAGATAGTTCTACTGTGTGGGGCAGAAACTTGGAGAACTACAAAAGCCATCATCCAGAAGAAACAGGTATTTATTAACAATTGGTTATGCAAAATACTTCGGATCCGTTGACCAGACACTATCAGTGGTGGTGGTGTTTGGTTCTCTGAGTAGTGGATGTTTTGGTTGTGGAGCTTTCATTGTTCTTCTGAACAACATCATCAGCACAAACTTCAGATAGAAGTGAAGCATTCGAATTTCTCCACGTTAGCAGAACAAGCTACAGGTCAAACGTGGAGAAATTCGAATGCTTCACTTCTATCTGAAGTTTGTGCTGATGATGTTGTTGTTCAGAAGAACAATGAAAGCTCCACAACCAAAACACCCAGCTCAGAGAACCAAACACCACCACCACAATCATCCACCTGAGCTACAAATCTTCTCCACCATCTCAAAAGACACTATCAGTAACAATCTACCATGGGAGAGAACAAACCAGATTCCAGCGGAGGAGGGAATCAGGAAGAAGAGCTGGGACTGGATAGGACACATATTGTGGAAAGTACTCAACTGCAGCACCTCAAATCCTCAAGGCGTAAGTATAAAGGGAGGATCAAAGAACGTATTACGCCGAAAGTTGGAGATAGGCATGAAAAGAATGGACAGTAATTGGAAAGAACTGGAAATGAAGGCCAAGGACCGGGTAGGTTGAAGAATGCTGGTCGGCAGACTATACACTGTTAAGGGTAACAGACGTAAGTAAGTAATTTTATGATGAACAGTCAGTCAGTTACAACGTAGAACTTCGTGCGTCGGTACGTACATAAATCCTGGTTGCCATATCGCATTAGCACACAGACGTATTTGTCAGTTCAAATCTTATAGAAGTACAGGTAGTAGAAGCATTAACAGTAATCGGAGAGATTAGGGTTCGATGATATTATTCAAGAAGTACAATTCAGTGAGATAAATTTAGAAGGAGAAAGATAGAGGTGATGACGAATTCAGAAGATAGGAATTTCATAGAACACAACGAATGGATGCACCTGTGACATTGCAGACGATTTTGAGCCATGTCATTCAAGGTCTCTAACCATCGATTACTAACATCTTGCGGACCTCAACCAGGCAGTCTACGTCTACCAATATGACTCAGTCCACTTGTCAGTGACTTCATGGATCTGTGTCGTGTTTGGTTTGGCCGCCCCTGGCTTTCTTCCAACCTACTACTACACTACAAAACAAAGCTCGTCACGGCATTCGGTGGTTAGGCATACGTAACACATGTCCAAACCACCTCAACTGATGAAGTTTCACTACTCCGTCTATTGATCTGTCATCCTTGCTTAAGACGCGTTTCCTAACAGCTGCACTGTTTACTCGATAGTCGCAAAATAAACGAACCATGCTTCTGGCACATCTATGATCGAAGACGAGTAACCTACACATAACTTCCACTCTTACTGGTCATGTTTCACAGTCACATAAAGTAGGACAAAAAGTGAACTGTTGCACAGTAGACTCAACACAAATACTGATCAAATTTCAGTCACAAAACATATATATATACAGACCATCTATCTACAGGATAATTCAAAAGACAAGCAACTAAACATTTCATCGAATGACTCTCTTATGTAAAACATGAGTAGAACACAATTTAAGGAATATACTTTTCCTTTTTCAATGAAAAAAAAAATCATGATTACTTACTTTCACTTACTTGAAAAATATAAATAGATATGAGGAAAACAAAATTGGTCACACACACGCACGCACGCACAGTCAGGAAGATCCAGTAGTAGTTGGAGTAGTCTAGAATCCTAATCACACACACACACACACACACACAAACAAACAACGACTAACAAGCACAATTTGATTTGGCAGTAGATTTTTTCAAATTTGCTGTACCATCTGTAGTGTTGTGTATACGTGCTTTAGTGACAGATGCTTCAATTCTAGTCATCACTAAATCTAATAGACGATCCACTGCAGTTGTCACTTGATAACCGGTTGCTGCACTTGTTTCAATATAAGGTACACTGGAATAATAATAATAATAATAACAATGATAATAATGAGATTATGAGATACAACATTTGTAAGTAAATAAGTGAGATCAATAATTATTACCAGTCAGCCGGTCAGTTAGAAAGTAGAACTGCGTACGTACGTAGATAAGTTCAAGTTGCCGTACCACATTATTAGCACACAGAGATGCAACTGCCAGTTGAAATCCCATAGTGGTCGAGTTAGTTAGTAGAAGTACTAGCGGTAATGGAAGAGATTAGGATCCGAGGATATTATTCAAGAAGTAGAATCTAGTGAAATAAACTTAAAATGAAAAAGATTAAAGGTGATGAGGAATTGAGAAAATTAAGATTTGAGAAGACACGGTCAGACAGTCAGTCAGTTGCAACGTAGAACTTCGTACAGAAAGTATATCAGTTCATGTTGCCATACCACATCAACACAGAGATGTAATTGCCAATTCAAATCCAGTAGTAGAAGAGGTAGTAAAAGGTATTAGAAGTATTCGGAGAGGTTAGGATTAGAAGATATTATTCAAGAAGTATGATTCAATGAGAAAAGTTTAGAAAGTCAAAACTAGAGGTGTTGAAGAATCCAGAAGATTAGGATTTGAGAGAACACAAAGAATAAATGCACCGGCGCCATTGCGAACGATTATCAGCCATGTCATTCAAGGTCTCTAACCATCGATTATTATCATCTCGCGGACCCCAACCAGGTAGTCGACAATCAGGACCTGCAGCTCGTCTTTGCTTCAGATTTCCTAACGCTTTCTCAACGTCATTAAAACTAGGGGGACTTACGTCGACTTGCCATTGAGAAGACACAAAGAGTAAATGCACCTGCACCATTACAAACGATTTTCAGCCATGCCATTCAAATTCCCTAACCATCAGTTCCGATTGTCTCAAGACCCCAACTAGGTAGTCTACGCTTACCAACATGACTTAATGCAGTTGTCAGTGACTTTATGGATTTGTTTCACGATAGGCAAGCCCGACCACCAACTACGTCAAGGTAGCAGTTAAGGTCAGGAAGTAATTCTCATATGATCAAATATGACTTCATTTAAACAGTATTCACTTTATCACTATGGCGTAGGTGTATCCATTCTTTACCTTTTGTCCAATTCTAATTCCTGATCATCTTTATCCTTCTCGTTTTAAATTTATTTCACTGAATTCTACTTTTTGAATAATTTCTTCAAACTCTAATCTTCTCCATTAACGCTAGTACTTCTACTATCTTTACTACACCAAGAGATTTGAATCAACAATTGCATCTCTGTGTTAATTTGGTTTGACAACTTGAACTGATGTACGTACATAAGTACGTACGTACAAAGTTCCTACATTGTTGCTGACTGACTGACTGACTGAGGTACTCATAGATCCACCAAATGACAATAAAATCAGATATGAGTAACCAAACAGCATCTCAACCCATTCACAAATTCAATGATTTGTATGACGCATAAATATATTTAGATACCATTATTGAATATAGACAGACAGACAGACAGATACAACGCAGAACTTCGTACGTAAGTACATCAGTTCAGGTTACCATGCCCCATCAGCACAGAAACGAAACTGTCAGTTCAAATCCAACAGTGATAGCAATAGTAGAAGTATTAGCAGTAATTGAGAAGATTAGTGTGCGAAGTATAATTCAGTGAGATAAATTTAGAAAGAGAAAGGTAGAGATTATGAGGAATGCAGAAGCTTAGAATTTCCAAAGAATTTCCACAAAGAGTGGATGCACCTGAGCCAAATAATTTTGAAAAAATGTGTTTAAATGCATAAAAACACTAATAACTACTACTGTTTATGTCCTCGCAATACGACACACAATACAATAAGTACATATACATTGTCATATATCAGCTTATGAAATTGTAGACTATTGCTTACAAAGTATGACTATTTTAATTATTATTATTATAAAGGTCAGACAACAAAAAAATGAGAATTCATATCTGATAAAAATTATGAGACAAACATGAAAGCAATGAATTAGTACGTCTCGATTTCCAGCTCTACTCACAATCTGTTCTAGTTTGAACGATTGAGTATCAAACGTAGCCTTTTTCTATAAACCAAAAAAAATCTGGCTCAACTTATTATTATTGTTATTATAGAAATAAAGACAGTAGTAAAAAGGAGGACCTAGATAGTAATGGGTTACATAAATCAGTGAATTTGTATGTGGATCGAGATACTGTTCGGGTGCTTGAACGAAATAGGCGATTTCTTTGGAGGATTACTACTACCCGAACTTTTGACAAGGAGAGCTAGTCCACAAAGCAGTACAGTAATGTTAAGAGATGCGATTTCATGGTAGCTACTGATCAACAGAATAGATTTATACGCGACTGGTTGTTCCATCAGCATCCTGGAGCCCATGTGCACCATCTGTTTGAGAAATGAGTATTTTTCAACTCTTCTACGTAGATTTTTCATATCAACCAACCAACCAACCCGGTTATAGCGTTGTACATTCGCTTTTCGTCTTTTAAATTTGGTAAGTAACACTCCTGCCACAAGAAGACAACGAGTAAAAGACTCCAAGCGCTTAACATTTGCGCTTGCTAACACGAGGTATAGAAATATATGTGTCTACAGAGTACACGCCACCATAGGATAATTCAATTTCACTTTGATTCTATGCATTGCTGACCGATTTCTCTGTAGAACTACTTGCATACATAAAAATCATTACTTTACCTACGATTTACACTTTAGTTGATTGGATAGTAGTATCATTAACCTGCACACAAAAAGAGCCTATAACTCGGGAGCATTGATCTCTACTCGGTAAATAAGTAAATTACCATGAACTACAGATTAACTAGAACAGTAGTGATTGAATAGTCACAGTAATTCTTTCATGTAAAAAACCAACATTCAGTAAAACTTACTCGAGTTCACGTGCCATTGCATTTGCAGCAGACATTGATACTTGACGTTCAGAGGTTAGATCAAATTTATTCCCAACAAGAACTACATCTGGACGATCACAATAAGCATGTTGACATAATAAATTCATCCATTCACGACAATTTTGTAAACTACTCTCATTAGTCAAATCGAATACCAATAAAAATCCCATTGCATCACGTAAAAATACTGTGCATAAACTTCGATAACTATAAATATAACATGATATGAAATTTTTATTAAAATATAGTTTGGTAATTGGTTTGCAGTTTTTCAGAATACTTAAACGGAAATGTATTAAATTGATGGTATTATTTTATCAACTGAAAAATCAAAGTATATTGGGTAAGTTATTTTATCCTAGCTTTTACTTATTTAGATTAGTGTATACCTAAGACCTCCCGTAGGATAACAAACCAAGTATTATTAGGTTATGTCAGTCAGTCAGTCAATTACGACGCTGCACTTCGTATGTACGTACGTACATCATTTCAAGTTGCCGTACCACATAAGCGCGAAGAGATGCAATCTAGTCAAATACATTTGAGAAAGAAAAGATGAAGGTTACTAATGTCTCGTGGATAATATCTGAAACATCGTACTCACGAATCGTTAGGTCAAGATTACATGAGCTAAATTTTTAACCTTAAACTTTATTTACTTTGATATAGTTTCATCCATCCTGATGGGCCGGTATCTAACGAAATCTCGGCATAGATTCATAAAGCTCAACTGAATTGTAACAACTTGCGTTACTTATGGCGTAGGTGACATATCAATCGGCTAACAGGAAGACAACTTCACTGTTCTCTCTATTCTATCTTGTGGGGTATGAAACGTGATAATTAAGAACAGATGATATTCGTGGGTTGCTACTGTTCGATCATATGTTTTTTCAAAGCGCTGCTCGCGTATTTTTTGACTAGTGAGTAAGTAACGCTAGGAGTTAGAAATAGGGTACTCGGTAAAAATGGAGAATCGATCGATGAGCTAGCAGATCTTCAACAACTAAGGTGGTTGGAGCATGCGTTATGTATGCCCAAGCACTGCCAACTTCAACGAGTGATGTCATATCCTAATGTAGTAGTAGGCTGTAAGAAAGCTAGCAACGGCCAAACCAAAACATGTCACTAGCTCATGAAATCACTAACATTTGGGCTGAGTCACGATAATACATGTAAACTACCTGATTAAGTTGGCGTGACAATCGCATACAGTGATTACAGAGTTTGGATGGCATGGCTCAAAAAAGCTTGCAATTGTGCAGGTGCATCCATTGCTTATCTTCATGTACATTCTACATTCTTAAATTCACCAAAATTTCTCTTACTGAGTTATAATTTCTTGAATTGTATCTTCGATGCCTTATCATTTCTATTACCATTAAAAATATTCTGTGATTCACCCTAACAATTTCATCTTACTGTGTCAAGAGGATGTAAGTTGAACCTATCTATACATGTATCAAGTTATATGTTGCATTTGACTGAATCACCCTCAAGCTGTGACAGACAGACATATACAACACAGAAGTTTGTACATACGTACATCAGTTCACGTTGCCATACCACATCAGCAAAGAGACGCAACTGTCAGTTCAAATACTATGATGGTAGCGATAGTAGAAGTATTAGCAATAATGGAGAAAGAAGATCAGGGTTCGAAGATATGATCGAAGAAGTAAAGTTCAGTGAAATGAATTTATACAGCGAAAGACAGAGATGATGAGGAATTCATAAGGTTAGAATTAGAGAGAACACAATAAGTGGATGCACCTGCGCCATTGCAAACGATTTTGAGCCATGTTGTTCAAGGACTCTAACCAAGTGAAATCTTTATCCAATAGCTTGTTAGTATTTCACTTTACAAATCAGAAGTAAAAAATATCTGTATGATGATGTTTATTAGTTTTCTTTCAAGAATTCTTCGGCTCATATCATGTTATGTAAAGAATGACTGTTAACCCATACAAAATATCCACAAAGCTACCTTACTGAAGTTTTTCTAAAATCTGGCGTAGGCGAGATATCTGTTTGCTGACCAAGGGACGAGTGTACTGCGCAGTAGTTCGCTCCGTCTTACTTTATGGCTGTGAAACATGGCCAGTGAGAGTAGAAGATATTCGTCGGTTACTGGTTTTCGACCATAGGTGTCTTCGAAGCATTGCTCGTGTATCGTGGGACACCCGAGTGAGCAACACTGTTATTAGGAATCGGGTGCTAGGTAAGAATGGCAGATCAATAGATGAAGTACTGAAACTGTATCAGTTGAGGTGGTTGGGACATGTCTTGCGTATGCCCAACCACCGACTGCCTCGTCGAGCTTTGTTTTAGTAGTGTAGGAATAGGTTGGAAGAAAGTTAGGGGCGGCCAAACCAAAACATGGCAGAAATCCATGAAGTCATTGACGAATGGACTTAGCCATGTCGGTAATTGTCGACTACCTGGTTGGGGTCCGCGAGATGATAATAATCGATGGTTAGAGACTTTGAATGATATGGCTCAAAATCGTTCGCAATGACGCCGGTACATTTATTCTTTGTGTTCTCTCAAATCCTAATCTTCTGGATTCTTCAACACCTCTAGTTTTGACTTTCTAAACTTTTCTCACTGAATCATACTTCTTGAATAATATCTTCTAATCCTAACCTTTCCGATTACTTCTAATACCCTTACTAACTCTTCTACTATTGGATTTGAATTGGCAATTACATCTCTGTGCTGATGTGGTATGGCGACAAGAACTGATGTACTTACGTACGAAGTTCTACGTTGCAACTGACTGACTGACTTTTCCAAAATAATAATGTTATCCTATTACTTGTGTTTGACATGTATGATAATTTACTGTTTTCAAATTAACATAATTGGATGAATGAATACAACTCAGTACTCATATATATATATATATATATATATATATATATATATATATATATATATGGATAGTTTGCTCTAGACTATACCTTTTGTAATACACCTTCGATATCAAAAGAGGAGTAGCCGAAAGAGCTTTTAGAATGGTAGACCATTGGTTAAAAAAACCAAGCAGCCAAGTTAATATTTCAACGTTTTATAGTATATCGTTCTCAGTCATCATTCTAACACTGTCCCGATTTAATTTGATTTTTTGGGCATAACTGCACCTGAAGTCAAATTTATACGTTCTTCACAGTACGCCATTGAAGTAGTACACAATAATGAAAAGATTTGAGGCGAGTTTAAATGAAGCACGATAACTAAGAAGCGATTCACATACTTATTTTTTTAATTATTAATATATAGAATGTAAACTCTTTGATTCATGTAGTATACAGAGCCTTCATGAGTATTCAGATACATAGAGCGCTTACCGTTCTTGTCCAGCTGTATCCCATAATTGTAAATGCAAGCGTTGTTTCGGTCCTAAAAGGCCTTCAGAATCGCGACTTTCTCGAACTAATCGTTTCTGACGAAAATCTACACCAACCGTAGTTGTAAATCGTGGATTGAAAATATTATCAGTGTACTGATATAATAAACTTGTCTTTCCAACATTGCTATCTCCTGTTTTGAACAAACCAAAGTAAGGAAAAAACATCAACTAAGTTACAATATTTGTTAATGAAATATCGGGAATGTGATTATTTACTCAGCTTGAAGTCAGATTGTATGGGATTATAATAAAGCCTGGTTATCTAAACCAGATTATGTTGAAGTAACGCAAACATTTTCTAGTGCAATGATTATATCTGGATTCTTGGATATTGTGAACTGAGTATATATATCATCTATTCTGTTCGATTTGTAGTTAATGTAAGGTCTACACACAGAACAGGAGCCAGAGGGGACTAAGCTAAAATATGGAACCAGTCTGTAAATTTAATATTCATGTGAACCCTGTAAGGAAGTTAAAACTTTCAGATGTGAGAATCGTTTTCATTCATTTATGGAATAGTACTTAAAACTTAAATGCATACATATGGTTTTCCTGTTAGTAAAAGAATAGCTGGTAAGACTGTGATACCTTGTGAACTGGACCTATAGGTTAAAGGTTCAGAAATTGATCTCTAAGAAAATCAACTGCTTCGTTTCGGTCAATGGGACAGTATTTCAGGCCACATACAAACTCAGTGATTTATAAGGCGAATAAATATTTAGATGTCACTTTGTAACAATAATCGTTTCTAAATAATAATAATAATAATAATAATAATAATAATAATAATAATAATAATGCTGAGAGATGCAAGAAGCTGAAACAATTAGAGATAGAGTGTTTAACGATTAATTGAAAATGTACATGCGAGATTTTTCCAAAACTATAGGATAGCTTTACAGCACTCGTTCGATTCACCCTAAATATGACTAGAAATAAAAGTAAGATTGTTTTAAGATAGAATTACTACTAATCTACTACTTAGTGAGACAACCAACAAGAAGTTGGAAATCAAACATGGACATGAATTACTGATAGCATTTATCATTGTGATGAATTACAAGAAAGGGGATAATAGAATTTACTTTGTAGACAACAATCCCAGTATTACTTCGCAACAAATTCGTTTAGTTTAAACGGTTGCAATTAACGATTATAATTAGAACTACAGTTAGGTAGTAACAAGATTATATTTCACCGAAGAATTATTTGATCAAGATAGGCTGTGTTGAATCAATTGCAAATATGGATTACTTGGGAATGAGTAATTCGTATGATTATTGGGTGTCAAAACCCAGCCTTTAATTGCGTCGTCAGCTGGTCAGAGGAAACTCTTAACAGCTAAAATGCATTTAACTAATTAACATATGACCGACCATTCTCCTTTTCGAATCAAAAAGGTGATTTCGTCATTGTTTCTTGTATATCATGGTAGAAATCTTAGGAATTTAATTAGGGACATATTCCTTCAATGTAAAATATATTTCATATGTAATATTTTATATAATTGTATGGCAGGCTAATCCTGAAACACTTTACTAGTCCTACAAACTCACCAAGGGCTAGGAGTTTTATCAAATAATCATATTCGTCATCTGGAGCTGCAGAAGAATTGTGAAACAGAGAATCACCCATATGTTCAGAAAAAATCTGAAAATCCGCCCAGCGCCACCTTCAGGTGGTAACGAGAGGTAGTAACTCAAACAATCTAAATTCCAATTTTAATGAATTGATAATGATTTCAGACTAATCAGTTAAATTTTCTCATCTGATATCTTTGTGTTAACGTATGGCTATGGTTATTTAGTGGCGTCAACAGGTGTCAATCTAGTTAACCCATTGCACTACATCTGACAAATAAATTAGTTATTTCTGGGTTCGTATTCCTTAGTATAAGAGATAAAATCGCCCCATGGCGGTAGAATCTTTCGTACTGGCAACCGTGGTGCTACTGAGCAATCAAGTGCTTGGCACTGATGTAAAACTATGAAATTAGAATACTGTTGCATGGTGAGAGAGGAGTAGAAAATGATAAATAGACTTTTGAAAATAATAGATGGATAGATAGACAGGAACTGAAAATAAACAGAGTGGAAGAACAGCCATACAGGTTTATCAGAGCCGTGATAATTATAGTGGATAAATAGAAAGACAGTGCAAGTAGGACCAATAAATGCTAAACTATCTTTCTCTTCAAACGAGTACTGTTTACCATTATTAATAGCAAAAGGAAATATTTCGTGAGTTCGAAATAATAGCAGCCACATCAGCTTCAAGAGAATTTGGGGTAGATCAGACAATGGTACGGAAACTTGAGATCCCACGGGAGTGTTGTCTGTTTGGGATTGGGGAACTACCTCGTGAAATGGAGTGGTGGACTTTGGATAAAGACTTTCTCTTCACTAACATAGGAGAGCTATTACGTCCAGCATCACCTTCAGGTCAGTTAGAATAATTTCGGATAGCGGATACGATTTGCATAAAATCTATTCAGTAGTTCAGTACTCAAATTTGTTGGGCATCGATGCACTTGTCTACGAAAATTCATATCTTTGTAGTGACTTCAGTTTCAAAAAAACGATTGATCAAGTAACAACGTCTATTACTGCGATTAGTTGTTTGTTTATACTTCTGTTTTACGCAATGACCTTTGTTCTTTTCTATTTATACTGACATTACACTCCTCTTCCTGGTCAGCATATTGTTTTGGCTGCTCTGTACCTTCACTTATTCTCTAGCACGTTTCAGTATTTCTACGATACCGCGAAATCGCCAGCAAACACATTAATTTCATCTGGACTATCTCGTCTTCTCATTTCCTGTAAAAAATCTGGGATAAAGTGCAAGACCCGCATGCAGTTCGTAAACATACTTGTTCATAGTTCCTCGACTCAAACTTCTATTCTCTATCTGAACAATATTCTGCTATTTAAGATTTCATTTGATGAATCCTTTAAACCGTGTCAAGAAAATCTGAAGAGTCATCAGACCTGGCTGTTTTCAAGGCAAAGCAAAGCTTATGCTTTGGGTAGCCTCTTCCGTAGCTGTAGTCGGGTATTTTAAAGGCAGTCGGTTGGAACTCCAATGTTAAAAAAGCTTTGTCCAATCTGAAATGAGCATGAGTATTGTTTGAATCTCCTAGGATATGAATTTGAGATTGTCTTGAGCCCATTGCACTAATAAAATCACATTTCTCTAAAGATCATGTAATTCGTCTTTATGTATCATATCTCTCAATTTCTTCTGTCGTCTGCATTGATAAGTAAAGATGGACTGCGATCCAGGCCGCTCACAAATGCGAGAAAAAATATAAGGTTCAAAATGGTTTCGCAAAGTATCAGAATGTTACTGTCCTTCAGACTAAATGAATTACATTAACCAAAGTGTAATTAAACTTCAGTCCTACAAGTAGTCCTTTAACCAGTAAAAGATTATGTCTGTGTACCGCATTAACCATACCTTAGCTAGTAAGGTGGTGCGCACGATCATTTCAAATGATTCATTAACATCCAGAAGTAACATTTGGGCAAAGCAATAATTAGCTAACTATGGTTTCTAACTCACTGTATGGATATTCTCATATAAAACTAACAAAAGACCACGTTGTCTACCTGGAGTCCCCCAACCCTGTGGGCTTATGACTCCTCCTATACTGGCCACCTAGACTTCTTCAAGACACCAGTATTTTGCATGATAGATTTACGGAGCTTGTTGATCTACTTCTTTAAATCGTGAATACACCAATGTTAGACCACCGATCCATGATTTCAAAAAAGTAACATCTAATATTGTTTATTGTCAAACTAGTGGTTTTGGTGAACATTCAGTAACGTGGTTCGCCATGCCCTGTGTAAATATGTTTTATTCGATAATTAGTAATTATTATTACTCATGGAGTGATCAAAAAACTCCGATTTTGCCGTGTGTTGTCTTACTGACTCTCGTTGACAAGAGTGATTAGTTATCTCATCATTTTGTACCGCGAAGTTCCACGTAAACCCTCCTTATGGAGCAGCTATTAGCTGACATGGGAGGTCAAGAAATTATCACCATTACCGACATCACAACTGAGGATCACATTTGCAGGCTTGAACCTGAAAATCGAAGAGACTCACTGATGTGCATTTCTCGGGATATAAACTGCATCGGTTCCGGCATCTTAAATCTGAGGGCGTAGGTATGTAGTGACATCACTTTGTGAAGAGAATGCGATAGAAACATTCATTATTATAACCAATTGAACCAGTGATTGTTTTACTGAACCTTTTGTTTATTTGTACTCTGTTTGCGCAAACTACCGGCTTGTATTGCTCCCATTCCTGTTACTTTGCCCTTCGTAACTTCGCCACTCTTTTCTGGCACGATTTCGGTATTCCATCGACACCACGAAATCACCAGCAAATATATTCTCCTGTACGGATTAACTTTTCTTCAATGTCTTTGATCCACTTAGTGACGGGAACGTAATTGGTCTATGGTGGTGTTCACAGTCAACTGTGGAAAGTTCCATTATAATCGGTGAACCACGACGACTTCGAACAATCCCTACAGCTATCTGCAAACAGCACGCTCGTACCTCCACACCAAAATAATGCTGACTCGATTGACTGCTATAAAACAAATCTGCGAGGTCCAAATTAATCAAACAAATTCAACTCCGTGAGTCAAAAACTTGTCTGAGTGTGCTCACGTGTACGTCGTGAAGTGATTGTGTACCAGTAATATTCATGTAACGCATGAGGGGAAGTCTTCAGTAACAAATACTTTCATCAGAGTTGAGTATCTCCCCTTATAGAGTGCAGTTATATCTATAAGCAAACCAAAAGATTCTTGGTTGGAAATTCGTTCGGTCCTAGTGAGTATGTAGCCAATAACTGGCCTCTGGGGTAATTGAGCCTGCATTTATATCACGAGTTCTTCGCGGTTATGGTTCACCACATAAAAACTCGCGCGATGGTGTTGGTTTGTGAGAAACGCTAATCGGTGTTACTTGACGAGGTTTTGACAACATCTTTGGCTGGTAGGCCGAAGTCTATGGTTTCGTTTAAGCACGCTGACTGGCTCTTATCTCTAAAAAAGCTATAAATTCCAGACACAGTAACCGCAAACAGAGCCGTATAAAAAAGATGCTAACGCCAGAAAACGGAGTTTTAGCACAATTATACAAGTCCAACGTTGTGAAACATTGATCACCCGTTGAGGTAAAGGCTTCCATCCGTTATTCGTTCGACAAGAGAGTCGATAGCCAGCTGACAAGTAATTGGTTCTTGGGCTTGTTAAATTTTTTTGTCCTCTGAATTTCTTTGTTTTGCAAGGGAGGTAGAACAAGTTGTTACGTCCAAGTTTAGCTCCTTCCCGTTATTGAAGTACACTATGTCGATCTATGTGCAATTCACGAATCCAAATTAACAACAGAACCAAACTCCAAAGTTAGGTACCAAAGTTTATTCGCAATTCACAAATAGTCGACCAAAATGTCGTTCTAACAACAATAATTATAATACCTACAAAAACCTTCAATTTTATAGGTTCCTGTAGCAAAAACTCCCAATTAGCAAACCAAGACAAACAGAAACCAAAATGTCCGAAAATGATAAATCAAACTAGTTCATAAGTTAAGTAAAACAAATATACCCAAAAACACAGTGAAATTAATGATATTTATACAAAGGTTTTGATCAGCCATCTGTCTTCATTTGTCCCGTAACACTGGGTGCAATGAGTAGTCATCTAAGCTTAATGGACACGCTGTTGTGCTGAATATGCAGCATGAGGAATCGATCATGGAATTGTCCACCTGTCGCACTCCACCATCTTTGACTAGTACTACAAGTATCGGGATGAGCACTACCAACAGTGATAAGATGGATGAGGTTAAGGAAAGTAATCTTGATCGAGTAAAGTTGGACACTGTGTATGAGTCGACTGGAAATCATGAGAAGTGTACTGCTGCTTGTACAGCTGCGGCTACTAATGATAACAGCATTGATAATACTCCTGCGGGTAATAGTGATCAAGGGAAGTTGAAAGACACTCACCGTCGTCGAAATGATCGTACGTTACGCTCACATACTGCTACCCAAGCTAAGAAGCATAAGAAACAACATGATGCTACTATTATTAAGAAGCGTAAACTTCGTTCTCTTTCGGATGCTGTGACTAGCAGTAGAAATAGTAGTCATCAGAATCTTAGTAGTGACAGCGATAATAAAGAGACAGAAAGTGTGAGCAATCCATCGATAGCGACTAGTCGATTAACTTCATCGATGGAGCCTTCTAGTGTTTTGACGTCATCGGACCTTGCCGCGAATGTTAAGTTGGTTGAGGATACACAAAATTGTGTAACTGTAAGTGTTCCTACTTCGGTTGACTGTCAGTCAAGTGATGATGAGAAGGAAGTGTCTGATAGTAACAGCCAGTCTACAGTGTTGCATGATAACGATGCTGTTGATGTTCGTATGTCTTGTGTCTCTGAAACGGAACTTGAGGAACAACAAGTGAGTTTATCGGTTTCGAATTTCTATACTAATGCTGTTTTTTCATGTAGCGAGATGAGTTACACAACAATGGAAGAGTTTCACTCTACGGATGCTAGTGTAGACAGAAACAACGTGACTTGTCTGACAGAACGGAATCATGTTGACGATGATAATAATCTGGATGCCACTGATGTGACAAATGAGTTGCCGACGATGACGAATGTTGATCAAACCTCCTCTGTATCAGGAGATGGAGAGTTAAATATTGTTCATATGTTGTGCCATTTGGAGTCTTCGGGAGACGATGAAATATCAAAACTGGAGATCCCACCCTTGTATATTATCTATGGGTCAAGAACTTCTGTTGATAAGTCAGCATCACGGACTTCATCGTATCTGCCGTTCGGAGCAAGTGGTGATGGATAGACGACTCATCCCCATGACGTGGAATGTAAATCACGAATAGGATATGACCAGATTTACAACGTGTTATTCATGTTCATGTGGGTTAATTGGATGTTTATACTACCGCTAGGTCATGCTACGATAGATAGGGGAATCAAGGACCTGATGGGAAGGTACAGGTACATAGTTAGCTTGATAGGTCATATCCATGTTGGAGGGCGGGTAGGCGTACTGCTATAAGTCCTACTCGATCTTCCGGTGTGGATTAGGGGATGAGAGTGAACCCTAAATTGAAGTGTCGGAAAGGGCTTGTTTCGCGGGCCGGTGTAGAATCTATTTTGAATGTTTTGTTTTTGGAAAATCCCTCCATGTATATTTATTTGTGTTATGATATGACTGACTCTTTCTGTTCGATATTTTGGTACTTTACTTGATTCCATTTTGAGATTTTATCATTGTATATTGTTATTATTTCTATATCTCGTATTTATATTGAAGTTTTTATGTTTGCTTCTGAACTGTATATATGTTGTTCAAATTTGATCTTTAATATGGCTGCAGCTGTATTTGGATCTGATACGCTATTAGTAACGGACTAGAAGCACTTATTCTTCCAGAAACGGAACCCATTGTGGTAATTTTAAGCTCGAAGGTGTAATATCGTTTTGGTAATTGTATATATTTCCCTTATTCATTAAAATAGAACCGTTTTCTCCCAGAATTATCGTGTTTTTAGTCCCTGACTGGGTGAACGCGTATGAACCTACACTGTTCGAGCCGGAGCTAACTGCAAGAGTAGAAAATCCATAACAGTATCCAACCTACTTTTTACCTACTATTATGCAAATCAACATCCTTGCATCTCCGGGAGCCACCAGGATGTGACAATATTCTCCCAATAGCCTTGAATCAGTGTGCGAAAGAACTCAGTTCACCGACATAAGACCTGTTCAGGCATTCACTGGAGTCACGCCAACTACCAGCTGAACCCATCTGTACCATGAATCGTTTCTCAGTCCATAAGATGATTGTCGTAACGCAACCTTCGTAACTTGCGCCAATTATTCGCTTTGTACATTCCTCTTTAAGAAAACAATGAATCTCGTGAAATGTTTCGGTAACTGTATACCGTTTTAAAAGAAATATGTTGCTGATCTTAACATTTTGATCTTGCCTATAAATTGGCATGTCTCTTGTGGCATGTTTGTTATTTGAGAATAAACTATTGTTATTATTATTATTATTATTATTACTAACAACTTGGTTCTTCTGAATTTATTCTATTCATACGACTAACTTCCCATTAGTTATCTCACTACTGAATTGTCTTTATTAACCTACATAAGCTCAGGTGTACAGTTAATGTTCTGATATTAAAAAATGTCTGAGTAAACATACCTTTGTTTTATCCATAAATGTATGTCCGAAGCCGTTGTTCGGCTTTGAACACGAATATTTTCTGTTCCGCTCCTCGTCCCGTTTTCTTTATTCCTCTTTTTTCATAACCTTATTCCAATCTTCATGTATTAGTCTGGATATTTGCCGTAGACTTGGTTACCCTACCCAGGAACATGTGAAATCATTAGCTGATGAATATCAACCAGACCTTTGCACATTTACCGCATCAATTCTTGTTATATGCAAACCTGTCTCTACCATGAATCGTTTCGCAGTCGATAAGATGGTAGTCGTAACGCAACCTTCGTAACTCGCGCCAATTATTCGCTTTGTACATTCCTCTTTAAGAAAACAATGAATCTCGTGAAATGTTTCGGTAACTGTATACCGTTTTAAAAGAAATATGTTGCTGATCTTAACATTTTGATCTTGCCTATAAATTGGCATGTCTCTTGTAACATGTTTGTTATTTGAGAATAAACTGTTGTTATTATTATTATTATTATTACTAACAACTTGGTTCTTCTGAATTTATTCTATTCATACGACTAACTTCCCATTAGTTATCTCACTACTGAATTGTCTTTATTAACCTACATAAGCTCAGGTGTACAGTTAATGTTCTGATATTAAAAAATGTCTGAGTAAACATACCTTTGTTTTATCCATAAATGTATGTCCGAAGCCGTTGTTCGGCTTTGAACACGAATATTTTCTGTTCCGCTCCTCGTCCCGTTTTCTTTATTCCTCTTTTTTCATAACCTTATTCCAATCTTCATGTATTAGTCTGGATATTTGCCGTAGACTTGGTTACCCTACCCAGGAACATGTGAAATCATTAGCTGATGAATATCAACCAGACCTTTGCACATTTACCGCATCAATTCTTGTTATATGCAAACCTGTCTCTACCATGAATCGTTTCGCAGTCGATAAGATGGTAGTCGTAACGCAACCTTCGTAACTCGCGCCAATTATTCACATCGTACATTCCATCTATAGGAATCCAGTGAATCTCGTGAAATGTTTCGGTAACTGTATACCGTTTTAAAAGAAATATGTTGCCGATCTTAACATTTTGATCTTGCCTGTAAAGTGGCATGTCTCTTGTAACATGTTTGTTATTTGAGAATAAATTATTATTATTATTATTATTATTATTATTATTATTATTAACTCTTTCTCCAATCTGCAAAGGAGGAGGTAGAAAGGACCCAGCCTTTTACGGACCACTCGCCACTCTACCAATACTATCGAAGGTAATGCAGGGGCTCGTGAACGAACAAATAAGGGAGTACATGGATAAGAACAAAAAACCTCTGAAATGCAGGTCGTACAAATCCAGTCTTCTCATAACTTGGAACAGTTGGACATCGGACTAGAACCGAAAAATACCGGTGCACCTAATAATTCTGGACTTTGAAAAAGCCTTCGACACAGTATCCCACACACCCCTAACTGCAAAGGTTGCAGAAATGAGCTTCACTGACCCACTCCTATCCTGTCCCGGAAACTACCTTGAGAACAAAAGGTTTAGCAAAAAGATAAAGAGAGTGCACGCGAGACTGAGAGTCGAAAAGTCGGGAGTTTCACAGGGGGCAATCTAAGGTCCACTTCTCTTACTGATATTCATTAATGACCTGTTAGGTACAAATTAATTCCGCGATGTTGATCTACTCAGACGACACGAAGATCTGGAAGTTCGAGTGCAGAAACGAGCAACGAAATGGGTGATAAGGTTGAAAAATAAAGCTTGTGAAGACAGACTCCAGCACTTAGGGTTATTATTTCTGAGTTACAGCAGAATCAAAGGTGATCGGATAACCGCGTACATCATTTTAAGCACGCCGAATCATCAAAACATGAGCATCTTACCAAAGCATCATCACTATGCCCCTCAAGGTAATCCTCGAAAAATTGCCGATCGAAGAGAGAAAACTCAGGTTTGTGCACACTTTTTCTCATTAACAGTCGTTTCAACTTGGAATGCTCTGCCAGACAAGGTGACCACGCCCACTCAGTGGACAGCTTTGAGAAGAGATTTGATGTTACGTCCAGATTTTTGCTCGTTGATCTTACGAAGCACGGTTGTCGACTATTTGTAATTCACGGTCCCAAATTTCTAAACCAAGAACGAAACTCCAAAGTAGATACCAAAGTTTATTCCAAATCACAAATTCGACCAAAATACTGTATTACAAATAGACGACAACCGTGCTTCGTAAGATCAACGAGCAAAAAACTGGACGTAACAAAAGTTCTTCTAATTTATTAGCTCTTGGAGCAAAAAACTGCAACGAACAACAAAGAGAAACGGGAGTCCAAAATGTCCGCAAATAATAATTCAAACAAGTTCACAAGTTAAGTAAAATAAATGTACCCAAAAACAGTGAAATTAATGATATTTATACATGAAGGTTTTGATCAGCAAAATGTCTTCGTTTCTCCCGTAACAATTTGATAATTACATACTGACATCTGGATTATCATCTCCCTCTTGGACAAGCTGTGTGCCTAATGCATGTTTCAAAATTTGCTAGTAGTTGTTATTACCATTTCCTCAGATCAATAAGTGAATCTATCTCGAACACTATCTCTGTTTTCTTTCCCTCGCTTACATTTTTTATTCCTCTTGCACTATCTTCACTGCCAATTGATAAACTAGATTATCCGTTTATTCACTTACTTCTGAAATTTTCTTATTGGAATTAGGATTTTCCCCTTATTATTCTCCACATTGCACATAACTGATCTCCGGCCTGGTAGCGTGATAACTACTTGTATCCAGAAATCCTACTGCCCCGAAACAAATCACGAAACCTGCAAACTGACAAACAACTGCCAAGTGACTAGAACCACTGCTGTCTAGTGGCTAAACCACAATCCACTGGATAACATCAGATACCTGGAACCATACCGAAAGAACAAGAACTGAGCATAAACCAACCAACCGGTTTATACTAGCTTGCAAAAAGATATTTGACATTGGATCATCTGATATCCCAATTGTCAGAACTAACTCAGTCCACCTAGTATCTTATTCTTCCAAAAGGGAAACACAGTTAACCTCTTCTCATAACTAAGACATCGATTTCAAGGCACATATAGTTCGTAAATTCTACCCAGCATAGTCTTTATTTTGAACACTAGCTCGTGAAAACGATATTGGATTTTGAACAATTTAGGAGGTCGAGTCAAGATGAGCGTTATGTTGCCGGCTATTCGTTCCAGACATATACTACTCAGGGTATGCCAGGTCGTTGCAAGCCAGCGATGCTTATTAAGCAAACCAGGAGATGCGCCGGTAGATCCTATCCAACAGTCATTTATTGCTAGACTGCGGGAGTATCGTCAAAAGAGCGAGTAGACTTTACTTTTCTAAATAATCTCATCTTTCAATTTTAGGAAATCTGAGTGCCAATTGGCAGATGCCACATCTAAAGAAATAAAAGAGCTCAGTGAAATGTTGGCTAAAGTTGATAGGATATACGGAGCTGAGGGACAGGATATGACTCAGTTCCCAACGTTCCAATTCGAAGATCCAAAGGTTGTAATACCGGCTTCTTCTCTACAAGTTGACTATCCTAAAGATCCAGAAAATACTGTCTAGGTCTAAGAAACATTTTAGTATCTTACTAATTACTACCGCTATGTTTAGTTGGTAATCTACACAAAATTATTGAAGTGAGTACATGTGTTTTCTGTTACTGCTTAAAGACTTGTGTGCTGCGGAGATGAGAGACTTAAAGACATGTTCTTTTATAGCTGTAGATTTTGTAGCATAATTTCTGCGGACATTTTGAGGTCTTTTGATTGTGCACTGCACGACTTATCAAAATTAAGTGTAAATTGATTAGCACTATGACTAGTCATTATATTGACTCATATGTAGTGTTAAAAAACAAATATCTTCCGTGCTTAGTTAGATCTCCGTCTCAACCCTTTGGTGAGACGACATACAGTATGTTGTGAATATACAGTATAGTTAACGTAGTCAGGCAAACCATCCGTATTACATGCCTTTTCGCAAGAGTGGCTTTGAGACGTTTGTTTTGAAAGTGCGGTGCGATTGTCACTAGACTAGTGGTGAAACTTTGTAGTTGGTCACTACTCCGAAGATAAATCCTAAATACCAGAATTCCCGATAGGATACGGCAACATTATTCTTTCTCCGAACAAATAGTCCCATTTACATACACAGTATGTAGTGTAATGGGATTACAGCTTGTCAGCATTCTTCTGAAGGGCGTCATAGTTACTACCGGAGCTTTAAGCCGTAATGACTTTCGTATTAAACTGTCAACTCATTGCATTAGCACAGAAGAATGTCTACTAAAGTAAAGTTTAGGTTTTAGCAATGAAATGGGTACAAGGTCGGTGCATACTCAATATTCTATTCAGCTGTAAAGTGTTGGAGTGCTTGGTTTAAGACCGGCAATAAAGGTCGATTTGTGTCCTGATGATGACTTATTGTTGATCGATAGCGGTCATAAAAATAAAAAGCAGACTGGCTATCTAGTATAGTAACTGAACACAGGGTATTAGCGTAGATATTTCGCTCATGGTCGGGGCATGACAGTTCTGTTGTCTAGTGTATCAATAAGTATACAATCTAAAGTGGTATACTTACTGCTACAAATCAATAAGAATAATATGAATTAAAGTCAATTAATCGAAGATAGAATTACAATTTTGCGAATGATGAGATAAAAAGCAGAGTAAAAGTTTCGAGGATGGCGTCCCGTTAATGTAAATCACTCCGCATGTTACTTTATTAGTGCACTTGATGGTAACATAGCCTACCTACCGAAATATGATTACATTAAAGCATATGCAGTCTCGTGAGCGATAATCAGGTTGGTGGTAGACGTTTAGGTTTGATGGTTTTGCAGCTTCTATTGTTACTGAAACGTTATGGAGACAGACAGACAGATACAACGCAGAACTTCGTACGTAAGTACATCAGTTCAGGTTACCATGCCCCATCAGCAGAGACGAAACTGTCAGTTCAAATCCAACAGAGATAGCAATAATAGAAGTATTAGCAGTAATGGAGAAGATTAGGGAGCGAAGATATGATTCGAGAAGTATAATTCAGTAAGATAAATTTAGAAGGAAAAAGGTAAAGATGATGAAGAATTCACAAGGTCAAAATTAGAGAGAACACAAAGAGTGGATGCATCTGCGCCATTGCAAACGATTCTGAGCCATGTCGTTCAAGGTCTCTAACCATCGGTGACTATTGTCTCGCGGACCCCAACCAAGTAGCCTACATCTACCATCATGACTCAGTCCACTTGTCAGTGACTTCATGGATTTGTGCCATGTTTTGGTTTGGCCGCCCCTAACTTTCTTCCAATCTACTACTACACTGCAAAACATAGCTCGTCGAGACAGTCGGTGGTTTGCTATTCGTAACACATGTCCCAACCACCTCAACTGATGAAGTTTTACTACTTCATCTAGTGATTTCCCATCCCTACCTAGTACTCGTTTCCTGACGACAGCATTGCTTATACGGTTGTCCCATGATACACGAGCAATGCTTCGGAGATATCGATGATCGAACACTAGTAACCTAAGAAAGTCCTCCACTCTTAACGGCCAAGTTTCGCATCCGTACCGTAGGGCGGAGCGAACTGCACAGTACACTCGTCCTTTGGTTACCAAACGGACAACTCGCCTACACCATAGGTGACGCAAGTTGGTAGAAGGCAATCGAGCATTCTGTACTCGAGCTGAGATTTCGTCAGTCACGAGGCTATCAGCACTGATGAGACCTCCAATATAAGTGATACGGTCTACACGTTCAACTACTTCATTCCCTATCACTAGTTCAGGTACCGATGCGACCCAATCTTGAAGCAACATTTTGCATTTCGAGAGGGAAAACCGCATCCCAAACATGCTTGCATTGTTGCTTAGGGTGGTCAGAAGAGTGCATTTTGTCAGCGTCTTCACCAAGTAGGACTGTCATCGGCATATTCTAAGTCAATAAGCGAGTCTCCTGGTAATGTGTCTACTCCTGAAAATTCAGACGAGGATAAGGTTATTTCTAGGAGCATGATAAAATTAAACAAGAATTGAGAAAGTGGACATCACTGACGAACACCACTTGAAGTGAGGAATTCCGGTGACAGTTCGCCATAAGTTCTCACTCGACCAATGGTGTTCGAGTAGAGAGCTTGTATAAGGTTAATGTACTTCTTTGGTACACCTTTCAATGACAGACAATGCCACAGAACCTCACGATCTATAGAGTCAAGTGCCGCCTTCAGGTCCAGGAAAACAACTATTGTAGGACGCCTAAATGTGTGTGTCCAAGGACCTGTCGTAGTGTGAAGATGTGGTCTATACAACCACGTCCAGGTCGAAAACTAGCCTGGTTTTCTCTAGTTTGCTCTTCACGAGCTTTCGTTAAGCGCCGAAGTATTATTGAGGCCAAAAATTAGACTGATTTCCCTTTGATTGTCACTAGAAGACTTTTGTCCTTTCTTGTAGATTGGGACAATTAGCGACTGAGACCAGTCGGATGGGACTACGTCCAGTTCACAGATTCTACCTAAGATCTCAGTCAACCTAGCTGCAAAAACTGGACCACCATCCTTAAATATCTCAGGAGTCACTCTATTAAGACCTGCTGCTCGCCCTCGATTCAGATTTCCTAACGCTTTCTGAACTTCATAAAGACTAGGGGGACTTACGTCGATTTGCCATTCAGAATGACTGGGGCGTAGGCTTTTTGTCAGCCTATGTCCAAGCTGACTCCTCTCCTTATCGCACTCAGAGCCAGGCGGGATGAGTTTTTGGGCATTCATCAGATCGGTGGATGCTACTGAGATCCACGGCTTCATTCTAGTCTTATGGTAGACCTTACTAGAAGATATCACCGCTGTTTCCACAGACTTTTTGATATCATTACAACCTACTTCCGGATGGGAATCGCTTAAATGGTCGCCTAACTGTCATTCTAGTTGTTCCTGAAATATATTCTTTGCCCTATTATCATTAAGTAAGACCCTAAGAGGCTTTCTTACGGTGTCTTTCCTACGCCCAGTAAGCCTCAAACAAATACGCGCTCGCAGTAGGGCATGATTTGAATCTAGACATGTGCCCCAGAACGAGCGACAGTCCTCTATCGAACCCCTCCATCGGTGGCTGATGGCAATGTGATCTAGTTGAGTCCAACGTTGAGACGACTTCGGAGGTCGCCAGGTCAAAAGGTGCTTTTCCTTATGCCTAAAGTTAGTGTTTGCTAAGAATAGGTGGTTATCTGAGCATAGTTGCAACAGACGGTCGCCATTGTCTGTTATGGCCTTCGAATTCACGTTTAACAAGAATAAATTTCCACCTACTCTTGTTTCTTTGGGCGTTTTGTCCTTACTTTTCCCTTCCTGCCAATAGATTTCTGTCAACACCCGTCAATTTATTAAGTCATTAGTTCTGCTCCTAGTGTATTGGCAGTATATATTCTTCCGCCTCTTCTTGCCTCAGGATCTGGCATAATCAACACCTGAACTACTGATAAGGGTAGCAGCAGTTGTGCATATTGACTACTTTACATGTAAGCATGAGTTGTTGGCATCTGACGAAGTCTCGGGGCAAATCCGGATAGCTCAGTGCTCTTCTTAACCTGTATCATTTTTGGCGTTTGTCAACCAAAGGATGAGTTGACCGAAACAGCAGTTCTCTGCTTTACCTCATGGCTGTAAAGTACGACCTTTAGAAATAGACGATATTCATAGGCTATTAGGTATCTGTGATCTGTTTCCCTTATATTTTGGGACCATGGAGGTAGCAGTTCTGAAATTGTACGCAGTGTTAACTGTAGGTTAGTGCTCAAAATAAAAATAACCAATTTTCAAACTAAGCGGACGAACATTTCTGCATCATTCGTAAGTTCACTAGGCAACTCGCATTAGTTTTGATTACTAGTATATCTGAATTGTTAGAAGTGAACTTTTTCTCAATCGTTAAGAGTACTCGGCATCTAGAACATTAACCATGCGCCTAATCAACCCTCACTACTTATTCATAATTGTTATTGGATAGCGTCATGAAGCATTGTTACGATTTAATTTTCCTCGTAATATGATGGATACGTGATGGAACGAACTATCAACCAAAATACTCCCTCGATAAACTGATCGATGATCGTCGTTAAATAGTTTTATTTTTGTCGTAATTACTTTTATCTTGCATGGTTGGTTTCGGCTTATTTAGTGAGTAGTTTCGAGGCTTGTCAGTGTAATGACACAATCTTTGGGGCAGATCATCAGTATGAGCAGTTGAGTTATCATCTCCTGCATACTGAAAGAAACGTCAGATTAATCCCAACACTGACAAAAGTTCATTCGGTTATCATCGATGTAGATTGGGAGTTATTCTCTCTGGTTTTACAAATTTATCTTTTCACTGATAATCAGTCATATAGGTAGCACTTTATCATGTGTAAATTTATTTATCTGGAAGCAATTGTACGATGCGATTTTATCTATATTTGTGAAGTAAACTCTATGCATTCTAAAAACTTGGAATCGCTTAAATACTGTCTTGTATCAAACTTGATACTTGTAACTAACGTGTACGAACTACCAACTTGTAAGTACAAATGTGAATAATTTGTGTCATACACATCAGAACATTGTGTTTAGAGTATGTCTAACGTATGTTCAAAATAATTACTGCCAGTTACATCCAGAATTCATTCATAGTTATTAGTATTGTCATGTATTGAAGGTATTTTTGGTAACAGCTCATGTTGGTAGTGTTACGAAATCCTATAATGGTTAAGCAGTAGTAATGAGGTTAGGCGAATATCCCCAAAATCAATTAAATCGTACATCAGTTGATAAACTTCTGTCGTTAGGAAACGAGTTCTAGGTAGGGATGGCAAATCAATAGATG